CCTCTTCCCCCGATGACGGCCTGAAAGTGTCCGACCCCCCCCGCGTACTGTTTTTCACACACAGGTTTCCCCAGAATTGGGTTTTCGCCTGCATTTTTTTGCAAAATGCTGCTCTCGCTGAGGCGCCGGCCTCATTTTCGGGACCCCGCTCGTTCCGAATCGTGCTTCCGGTGCAGCGCTGGCCTCATTTCCGTGCTTCCGCTCGTTCCGAATCGTGCTCCCGCTGAGGCGCTGGCCTCATTTCCGCGCTTCCGCTCGTTTCGACTCGTGCTCCCGCTGCAGCGCTGGCGTCATTTCCCGTGCCATGCCACGGCGTGGAATGCAATGCTAGGTTGATACTACGCTTTGCGGTGCTCTTCTACGCCATGCCATGCCGTGCTCTACAATGCATCGCGTACCCTTTCGGGATCATTGCCCTGCTCGACATCCGACTGTGCGAGTAGAGAGGGGATCTACGCCATGGTAAGGGATGGGAGGGAGGGGTAGGATGTCAGATATGACGCGAGCGCACCTAGCTTGTCCTCCTCCCTCCTCCTCCTCCTCCTCCTCCTCCTCCTCCTCCTCCTCCTCCTCCTCCTCCTCCTCCTCCTCCTCCACCTCCCTCCACCTCCACTCCTCCTCCTCCTCCTCCTCCTCCTCCTCCTCCTCCTCCTCCTCCTCCTCCTCCTCCTCCTCCTCCTCCTCCTCCTCCTCCTCCTCCTCCTCCCCCTCCTCTGCGTTCTCCTCCTCCCCCTCCTCCTCCTCAGCCTCCTCCTCCTCCTCCGCCTCCGCCTTCTCCTCCTCCTCCTCCTCCTCCTCCTCCTCCTCCTCCTCCTCCTCCTCCTCCTCCTCCATCTCCTCGTCCTCCTCCTCCTCCTCATCCTCCTCTTCCTCCTCCTCCTTCTCCTCCTCCTCCTCCTCCTCCCTTCTGCTCGTCCTTCCTCCCCTGCCGCCGAACACGGAGCGGCCCAGGCTCGCGCGCCCGCCCCGCGGGTCCGCGAGATGAACGCTATGCGGAAGGAGGGCCGGAAGATTGCCCAGATCAGGCAGTCGGCCAACTCCTGGCAGGCGGGAGCCCCAGCCCGGGAAGGGGAACGCAAGGGCTGAGCCGCGCCCGGGGAAGTAGGGAAGGGGAGAGGAAGGGGCAAGGAGGGATGAGGAAAGAGGAAGGAGGAAGAAGAAAGAGGAAGAGAGGAGAAGAGAGAGGAAAAGGAGAAGAGGGTGGAGGAATACAACCCCCTGGATTAAAAAGTGGAGACCGCAGGGGCCGAGGTAGACGTGGTTTGCCTCCCGTTAGGCAGCGGGGCCCCGGGACAATGTTGGATTTGTTGCCAATTCCGGAGTTTCCGGTGCCTCCATCATCCCTTTTAATATTATCAAGGCCAAATGGGGCTCCGACCGGAAAGTGGGATTCTGCCTATGACTTCCTCAAAAAAAGTTTCCGGTCGCCTTCCAGGGCGACCGGAAATTCTGCCATGCCACCGGAAAGTGGCGATTCCGCGTGGGACTTCCTCAAAAAAATATTCCGGTCCCCTTTGAGGCCGCCAGACAGTGGCGATTTCGCGTGGGACTTCCTCACACATTACTTTTTGTCGCATCTCATGCCACCAGAAAACGACGATTTCGCTTGAGACTTCCTGACATTCGAGTTTCTGGTCTCATGTACGCTCACACAGACGCCGCGGACCTATTCCTCTTCCCACTCTCTCCTCTTATCATCACAGTATTGGATTGTTCCGTGTCGCATGCTCTCCGTGCAAGTCAGATTCCAGTTGCCACAGCCTCGCGCGCGCGGTCCTATCTGCGCCTGGGCGGATGTCCGCAGGGATGGCCGTTGCATCGTTCGGTTCACAGGTTTGTCTTGGAGTCATCTTGAGGCCATCTTGAGGTCGCGTCGGGTCGCAGGCCCCCCTGTGGGAGGTTCGATCCCAGGGTCATTTTGGGGCGACGCGGTTGACCCAGGATGTACGGTCCAGAATCGACGATCCAGGATCGATGATCGAGGATACACGATCGATGACCCAGGACCGACTGTGGAAGAGCGAACCCATATCGATCGGAAACGAGGCTTTGGGTTCCACGGCCGATCAAAGTTCGACAACCACCTAGCGATTGAGGGTCGGAGATCGAGGGTCGAGGATCCAGGGCCGTTCGGACATCGAGGAGCCAGGATCGAGCGGCCACGATCCGTCGAAGTTCGACGCTGGATGGCCGATCGAAGAGCGACGATCGAGAACCGATGTTCCAGGCTTCATCGAAACTCCAGGCTCCAGAATGCCTGGCCGATCGAACATCCATGATCATGGTTCGATCGAGGCTCGAGGATCGAGGATCGAGGGCCCCAGATACTTCGAGGGTCGAGGATAGAGGTTCTGTCGAACAGCGACCATCGACTTCCCAGGATCCAGTCCCGATCGAAAGTCGCGGCTCGAAAGCCGAACGACGGACGAATACCAGGATGCGGTTCTTTCGGTGTAGCTCCGATCTCAACTTTTTAATCCAGGGGGTGGTAGGAGGAGGA